AATGACTAAGAGAATTGTTGTGATAAAATTAAGTTCTGTGGAAAACGAGTGAATAATACGTGTGCAAGAGTGAATAATTAGTGTGAGGACAATAATTAGTATGTATATCCAGTGAGGATAGAATTTCAGGTGTTAACAACCTCCCATTGAAGGCATTGCTTGATAACGAAGGTGGTGGACCATATCAATTTGTGAACAGAATGCGTTATTGAAGGAGTCTGAATTATAGAGTCAAGCTCAAACATTCCAACCTTCAGCATTTCTCTGCTCTAAACCTCAGTAAATTTTCAGTGTGTTTAGTTTTCCAAATATCCCAAAAAGCCAAAATTATTTTCCTTCATGTAGTGTCTTTTTGAAAATAAAGCAAAAGCCAAAAGCATCACAAGAAAATATGAAAAATAGAAGGGTGTTTGAGAAGTTGTTTTATCAGTTACCTAAATCAACTATCAGTTACCAGCAAGAAAGAAAAATGTGAAATACAAAGTCAACTGAATCTTTTGAAAATATGAAAAATTGAAGCTTATGTATCTTTGGAACCAAGAGAAGAACTTTGACTAGGTTGGGCTTGCAGATGCAGCATCGGATGCATTTCCATTTTGTGGTCGTGCTTGGGGGACTTTGCTGTCAGCAGCAAACATGTAAGAACTGCTGTCTGAGAAACCATTTCCTGGTGAGCTTGTGTCTGGTATAGATGCATCCAATTCCCCACTGCTTACAGCATCAAACATGTAATGACTGCTGCCAGAGAAACCACTGCCCTGTGACAATAGACCATCGTTTGAGTTCTGAGTTGAAACCATGGATGGTAGGTCACAAAACCTACTGGCATAGGTGGTCGTCTGAAAATCAGTAGGTATATCGTTGTACAAGAATGAACTAGCATCGTCTGATACAAAATGCAAACCAGAAGCGATGGGCTGGTGCGGATTCAAGGCTGGTCCTGTATTACAGGATGTGATCCAAGGGACAAAATAAAAGCAACATAAGTAGCAAAATTTATAACACAAGTTATATTGGAATGCAAGAAAGGCAGTACATATGTATACCAGTTTGCAAGGGTGCGCTACCATTAGTGAATGAGCCAGGCTCAGCAGAAGCCATGGATTGTTGTCTGCTCAAAGGTGACATTGTATGATAATCTGAGATCCGAGGAGCTATAAAACAGTATCAGTTGCAAAATTAATAGAGTTTAAAGAATTTCACAATAGGGTCTGATGTTGTAACATCAGTTATATGGAAATCCATGAAAAGCAGTTATACCATAGCGTGAAGATGGACTACCATTGGTAAATACAGCTGACAAAGCAAGGGGTTGGTGCATGTTGTATGCTGGTCCTGTATTAGGAACTGAGATCCGAGAGACTGTAGGAGAAATTAACATTTATTGCAAAATTACAGGGTTTGGGGTACTAACACAATTTATATCGAAATTCATAAAAAGCAGTATGAATACCATTGTGCCAGGATGAACTACCATAAGTGTCTATACCAGGCAAACTAGAAGCAATAGGTTGATGCATATCTGAAGCTGGTCCTGTATTATGGGCTGTGATCTCAAGGACTGTAAAAGAAGGCAACATTAGCTGCAAATTAACAAAGCTTAGAGAAAGCCACTATGGGGGGTTTGGGGGTAGTAAAACAAGGTTATATTTAAACACATGAAAGCAAATCTATTTTTTTTTTTTAAAAAAAACCCATTATTCTGAAAGAGAAAAAGAAATAGCCGGAGTTCAAATAAGAGGTAACTGAGACATATGATGTTAACATCACTGGACAGTTCCCGCATAAAGATGAAAATATCAAAGTTCAGACTCAAAAAAAAACCTCAGCTACTCATTGGTAATCCCACCAAGGCAATGCAATCACATTACAGGTATGTCCAACTATATAATCAAGAAGCAGTCTTACTTGATGGCATATAAGATGCATTAACAGTAGATATGGAAGCACCCTCATTTATATTCATCTGATTCATCAACTGCAACTGTTTCTCAAGCAGCCGATTGAATTCATTTATTTGGTCCATCAAAACCAATCTCTGATAATATTCCTGGAAGAATACTTGATTTTCCTCTTCAAGTCTGTCCCAAACTGTTGAAGCAAGAAAGTGTTGTGAACTAAAATCAGTAAAGGGTAGGGAAGGAGGGGATTGACAGACATCTTAAGGAGTCATGAACTCAATCAGTGTTCATGTGAACATTCATATTATTGGTGTTACCAATTTGTGTAAAACGACGGTCTATGTTTGCCCGAGCCAATGTGTCAAAAACTTTCTGTTTGTTCATGTGTTTCATGAGACATGATGTTATTAGAACTTTCACCTGAAATCATACATAAATAAAATCAAGAAATATTAATATCTGAACAGCATCCTCTGTGTTCTCTGAGCCCATTTGACAAGAAAAAAAATTGTAACTCCACCAAAAACAAAAAGAGAGGAAATTTCCGAATTTATGGAACATATATAAGAAATGTAATCACAAGATACATTACAGTCGAATAACATGGCCTAGTGAGATGGATTTCTATTAGAGTTGAATGAGTAAATTAAGCATCAAGGTCGGATACCTACTAACAGCACATCTACCCTAGTGGCCTTGTCCCTTCTCCCCAGCGGCATCGATATGTCTTCTTCTCTTGATATGGGAAATGATTCAGAGGACTCAAATGTGAGAGAAAAAACCTGAAAACCCAAAAGATACAACCTTTAACTCAAAGAAAAGAGTTTCTTCAAGGAAAACAAAAAACCCACTTCAGGGTATGGAAGGGCAGTGCCTAAAATCCTTTAGCACAATAAACAAGAAATCAGTCTATAGCAAAATCAAGTGAGAACCCTTAGCCCGACTGTTGCCAGAAACGAAAAATAACAGAAAACCGATAGAAGAAAAAGAACTTTTAATTTCTTTCCTGAATTTTTTGAGTAAACGAAACAGCGCAAGAAACAGAGTCAAGATCACCAAGAATTGAAAAGAAATTCTCAATCAAAGAATCAGAGAAACTGAATGGAAGAAGTTGTAATACACAATTAAATTAAACATCTAAGCATGCCTTTGATGAAAAACAGAGTGTCCTGAGAGGAGTGCTTCAGTAAGAGGAGGAAGGAGGGAAGAGAAGGGATTTTATTTTAGTGAGAAATTTGGGTCGGCACGATAGCTTGCTTTTCTAAAGGATTTCGGCTTATGTCAAGTGAAGCGGGAAAATGGTGGCTGGTCGTTATCTTCTTTCATGGGCTTGCTCATTGGGCCTCTGCCTTCCCACTAGAAAAATAAATAGGGCCCATAACCTCAACAGAATAAAGATAGACAGTAAACACTAAGAGGAGACCATAATAATCTCATTTTTACTTGAAAAAATTATTTTTGTCTCTTTTAATATTAATATTATAGTTATAATATAATATAAAATAAGATAAAATATATATTATTTTTTATTTTTAAAATAAATTATAGTTTTGATTTTAAAATTATTTTATTTTATTTAATTAAAATTTTAATTTAATTAATGACCTAAATAATTTAGT